ACCTGCTTAAAGGCTTGTTGATTTTGTTTGTCTTTTCAAAGAACCTGCTCTTGAATTCATTGATCCTTAGAATTGTGCTTTTCATCTCTACGTCATTTCATTCTGCTCTGATCTTGGTTATTTCCTTCCTTCTGTTTGCTCTGGGCTGTCTTTGTTATTGTTCCTCAAGTTCCTGTAGGTGTAGGGTTAGACTGTTTATTTGAAATGTTTCCATATTGTTTAGGTAGTCCTGTATTGCTATGAACTTCCCTCTCAGGACTGCCTTTGCTGTGTCCCATAAGTTTTGGATTGTTGTGAGTTCATTTTTGTTAGTTTCCAGAAACTTTTTGATTTCTTCCCTAATCTGATTCTTGACCCATTCATTATTTAATAGCATGATATTCAATCTCCATGATTTTGAGTGTTTTGGGTTTTTTTCCTTGGGGTTGCTTTCTAGTTTCAGTCCCTTGTGGTTGGAGAAAATGCTTGGTATGATGTTAATTTTCTTGAATTTGTTGAGGCTTGTTTTCTGTCCTATCATGTGGTTTATCTTTGAAAATGTTTCACGTGCATTTGAAAAGAATGTGTATTTTGATTCTTTGGACTAAAGAGCTCTCTATATATCAGTTAAGTCCATTTCATCTAGGGCATTGTCCATTGCCACAATATCTTTGTTGATATTTTGTTTGGAAGATGTGTCCATTTTTGAGAGTGGGGTGTTAAAATCACCTACTATAATTATGTTGCCGTCAGTATCTTTCTTGAAGTCCTCCAAGATTTTCTTTATGCATTTTGGTGCTCCTATGTTGGGTGCATATATATTTACTATGTTTATGCCTTCTTTGGTTCACAAGCCTGCACTCAGTCCACTGAGATACACCAGCCAGGGGTTGTTTATGTCTTCTTGATGGACTCCTCCCTTGCGTATTATGAAGTGACCTTCTGGGTCTTTCTTTATGACCCCTTTTTAAGGTCTATTTTGCTCAATATGAGTATTGCTATCCTGGCTTTTTTTTTCCTGTCCATTTGCTTGGAATATTTATTTTCAGCCCTTCACTTTCAGTCTGTGTTGGTCTTTTGTTCTGAGTTTGGTCTTCTGTAAGCAGCATATGTGTGGGTCATGTTTTCTTATCCATTCTAGTATTCTGTGTCTTTCAGTTGGGATATTTAATTCATTTACATTTAAGGTTATTATTGATAGGTACTTATTCATTGCCACTTTTTGTACTCATGTTACTCTCTCTTTCACTGTTTTTCTTCTTATTCTTAAAGCAATCCCTTTAGCATCTTCTGCAGAGCTGGTTTGGAGGAGGCATATTCTTTGAGACTTCTTTTGTCTGGGAAGCTCCTTATTTGGCCTTCCATTTTAACTGAGAGTGTTGCTGGATAAAGTAGTCTTGGTTGCAGGCCTCTGGTTTTCATTACCTGGAATATTTCTTGCCATTCCCTTCTGGCTTGGAGCATTTCCACTGAGAAGCCAGTTGCTAGTTGTATTGGGGCTCCCTTGCATGTTCCTTTCTGTTTTTCCTTTGCTGTCTTTAAGATTCTCTCTTTGTCTGGGAATTTTGCCATTTTAATTATGATGTGTCTTGAAGTGGGCGTCTTTGGGTTCCTCTTGATTGGGACTCTCTGTGTTTCCTGGATTTGTGTGACTTTTTCTCTCATCAAATTAGGGAAGTTTTCCATCATCACTTTTTTAAACAGGTTTTCTACCCCTTGCCCTTTTTCTTCTTCTCGAATCCCTATTATATGGATAGTATTACATTTCATGTTGTTCTGCATTTCCCTTAATCCCTCTTCATTCTTTAGAATGAAGCCTCTTTTCCTTGCCTCCATTGTTCTGGGTGTTTTTTTCTACCTTGTCCTCCAGCTTGCTGGTCCAATCCTCTGCTTCATCGAGCCTGCTTTTGATTCCTTCTACTGTGTTCTTCAGTTCAGAAATTGTATTCTTCGTTTCCTCTTGGCCCTTGTTGATAGTTTCTATTTCCTGTTTCATTTTGATGTAGTTTGCAGTGAGTTCATTGTAGTTTCCCTGTAGTTTTTGGTAATTCACTGTGAGCTCATTGAACTTCCTGATAACCACTGCTTTGAACTCAATATCTGATAGTTGACTTGCCTCTATTTCATTTAGCATTCTTTCTGAGGCTTTCTCCTTTTCTTTCATTTGGGAATTGTTTCTCTGTCTTCCCATTGTTTGTGAGACTCTTCTTGTTAGCCTCTGCTTCCTAAATTATCTTTTCTGATTCCCTGGGTTTATGGTGTGAACTTCTATGGCAGAATACCTGTGAGATTCAGTGGTGTAGTTTCCTTGATCTCTCAAGCTCACTGGTCTTGGACTGTCGTTTAAGTTGGCTCTGTGTTTGTCTTTGGGTTTCTATTGTTGTTAGGTCTTTCTTTGGAGGGTCCTATTCACCAGCTGGTTAACTGAGGGTCACTCTGTCCACCACCTCTTGTATTCTGTTGTGCAGGTGTGGGCAGGTGTGTTGAAGCTGGTTCTTCCATGTGTACAAGGTTTGGAGGATTCTCTTTTGCTTTTATTCAGTTGTTTGTTCTGGGTAATTTCTCCACTATTTAGTTGTATTTCCAGATAGGTCCTGAATTGAGGCTAGTGTGCCTTCTGCTCCTTCCTTCACCTTTTTCTGTTGTTATCTGTTGGTGGTTCCTTTGTTGTTGGGTTTCCTCTTCCAGCAGGTATCCTGGTGTTGACAGCTTCCACCTACTCTTTTTTGTGAGCAGTTGGAGGGGGAAGGCAAAATGTTTTAAGACAGCAAGAGAGTATTCTATGATATTTACAGTAGCAGCTGGTAGACAAGAGATAGGAGATCCTTTGGCTATATATAGTGTTAACCGTGATATTCCCCCCAACAGGCCACTTTTTAGAAATGATGGAAAGGAGATAAGACTTTTATGGTGGGGGTGAGAGGATTATGAGTTGGGTCTAGAGAGCAGAGAGCTTGTTGGAGGTCAGATTCTGAGGTAAAGTGAGAGTAAAGGATAGAAAATAGGTTTAGTGTGTAAGAGAATAGAATTAACTACAACAGTAATAGAGTTCAGGAAACTATGAAGGGCGCTAAGAGGTGGGAGTGGTGTTGTGTAGTGTTTCAATTGTATAGAGCAGCTATTATTTACAATAATAATAGAGCAACAATCACATGACAGAATCTATGTGATCTGGATAACCAGAATTGGAAATATAGGACTCAGAGTAGTGTACTAATGGAACACAAGTGAAGTGAGAGGCAGTAAATCAACAATACACTATGAAAGAGAGAACCAAGGGAAACCAGTCGAACAATGCGATAACCAGCCAAGTGAGGAAGACTAATCTGAAAGATGAGGCATACAAAAACACTCATAAAGTAAAAGATGTAAGAGTAATGAAAATAATAATAGAAATATGCAATAACCTGCAAATTCTCTGTAGTAGCCAAGTGAAATTCTTCTCACCTTCTCAGCTGTTGGGATGCCCCCTCTTTGGGTCCAACTACTCTGGTCTTTTCACAGTTTCAAGATGTTTGGGGTTTTTTTGTTTGTTTGTTTTTTGTTTGCCTCACTTGTGGGTAATATAAAAAGAAAAAGAAGGAAGGAGGAAGAGATAAAAGGGGAAGAAGAGAAGAGGAATAAAACAAGAAAGAAGGAAAGACAGGAAGAAGGAGTTAAATTTTTTTAAATAATCAAGAATTACTTAAAAGAATAAAAAAGCCTCCTGCTGGCTTCAAACTGGCTAAGCCAGTTTTTCTGTTCTTTCTGCCTGCAGCTGGCTGAGGGTTGATTGATTTAGTTTTTCTCTATTCCTGATCTGCAGTTAGTCAGCCTCCAGCCCAGTTCCCCAGTAGCCTCCCATCCCTCAGGTTCAGGCACACACTCTTCCCAATTTATAGGAGTGTTCCCAGGACCTTCCACACCACCTCCCAAGAACAGCGCTGCTGGGTGGGGAGGAGTCCAAAGTGGCTGCTGCAGGAGAATGTCCTAAACAGTTGCCAGTGTCTCTTTTTTCACTTTTTCTTTTTGAGAAATTCCTCCTGCTTAAGCCTGCCACTCCATATGGAGGCCTGGCCTCTCACACAGCCCAATTCTCCATCCAAACCAAGAACATCCAGGTCAGGGCCCATCATGGTCCAACTTTCCTCAGCCTGCATCCACACACTCAGTGAGTACTCACAGCCCCTGTGTGTTTGCCTCTTAGTCCTTATTTCTCTCTCTACAACTTCAAGCAACCAGGTCTCTCCCAGTGCTGCCCAAGCCTTGTTTGGAAGGGGAGGGAGCTGTTAACCCAGCCTGCTCCCAAGAACCCTGTGGCAGACCTGTCAGTGCTGGACCAGGGGCTGCAGCCACTGCACTGGTCCCAGGGACCTTACTGTCCTGAAGCACTCTCCTTCCTGTCTAGTTTTTCAATGCCCTCTACTATTTTTGGTCTTCTATTTTCATACATGCTGGGTACTGTTGGCTGTTCACTCTGTTCCTCAGTAGATCAGCTAGGTGTTTTACCTGTGTGCAGGGGGAAGTGGGCTCCACTCCCACCTACCTCGCTGCCATCTTCCTCAATAGTTAATTTTTAAGTTACCTAGAGGAAGAAGCAGTGATAACTGTTCAAGGAGATTCATTAGGAAAGACTCCAAAAGAAGCGTTTCTGTCTGAGTTGAGTTTTGAAGGATGAGTAGGAATCTTCTAGGGCACAGAGACATTTCTTGGTAGAGGAAACTGTAGGGGTAAAGATCTTGAGACTTAGCTTGTTTGAAGGATTTCAAGTGTTTCTTAGTGCAGGCAGCCATGGAGTCGAGGACAGGTTAGAGATTTAAGGCCAGTGCCTTACCTGAGTTTCTGTAACCTTTGGGCATACTGATAAAATGAAGTGAGTTGTTCACTGATTACTCACAGAACATGAACTCAAGGGTGGTCAAAGTGGGAGTTTCCATGAGGCTTTGCCAAATATTAAGTTGAGAGGTCACCTGAAGTTTGAGCACAGATGGCATTTCTGCTGGGTCAGATCTGGCCCCACCCCCTCTCCCACTATATAAATAGCCAGTCTCATTGAATATCCACTGGGTGGGAAGGGAAATTTCTCACACACAGGCCTGCTGAGAAGAGCACACGGTGCTGCAAGGAAAATTCAGAGGAGAGAATCTCGGGAGGAAAGTGGCCATGGACCTGATCCCAAGCTTTTCCACAGAAACCTGGGTTCTCCTGGCTACCAGCCTGGTGCTCATCTATCTGTGAGTAAACTGTCCAGACTCATGTCCTCTGTAATCTTGGACTTGGGGAGCTCATCAGGCCCCCCTTTCCCTTCTCTGTTTTGATGATCCAACAGTCAGTAAAGGAAAAGTTGTTTAAATTTGGGGGTCTACAAACACCAAAGGGGTTATTATTGATCTGACTTTGATCTTTTGAGGAGTAATATCCCATCTGCCCCCAACTCCCAATTTCTGTAGCCCACATGCTTTGGTGAAATTATTTGCTCCTAGGGTGATTCCAGACCTAGTCTGAATGACCCTAGGAGTTCAGCAGAGGCAGATCAAAAACAATGGGCTTCTGGGCCCTGGCTGGTGTAGCTCAGTGGATTGAGTGTGGGCTATGTATGGGGTGCTGGACACGGCCCCTTCTCTTCACACTAGCTCTTCCCTTTATTCAGTGTCTCTCTCCTGACACTCTCCTCCTAACACTCAGTTCCATCACCCTATAATAGGCAGAACTATTGAAGTATTCTCCCTTCATGAGAAACTAGAGCAGAAGAAAGTTGCAGCAATTTTGACATTGTATTCTTTTATTTCATCTTCATCTTCTAGTCTTCACAGAGGGTTAGCATTATTATAGAGATTTATTTTCCTCCTGACATGAAATCTGCTAACAGCCTGTAAAGGCACAAACCCACAAGCCAATGTGCATTTAAATATTTTTTCCAGTAAGTTGCAGTACAGGAGGATAAACCAAGCCATCTAGCAGAGGAATTCCTTTCAAGAGTGGGATTTCTGCCATTACGTAGCAGGTTGGGATAGGAGGTATTTTGGACATGTGGGTAGGGAAGGCCCCCTCCATGTCCTGTGTGACTTCTATCTCAATTTCACTTTCATGAAGAGTAGGAATCATGATGACTTGAATATAGAAAATATAAACATTATTTTAATTAATTGAAAGAAATGTTATGAATACAGCATATCAGGGCAATATAGTTTCCATCTGATGACATTTTAGAATAACTTGATAGTGTTAAATTTTATTCTATTTAATATTAGATTTTTTTTACTGACATAAGACTATTTCTGGCATGTCCTTTCTGTAGAATAAAAGAGGCTATTGGTACAAGATTTGTGACTACAAAGGTGTGTAAGTAACCTCACCCAACTAGAATAATATCTGAAATATGAGTCCATTGTACAAATACATACATGCATGACATAGATTGTATATAGATAGATAGATAGATAGATAGATAGATAGATAGATAGATAGATATGCATAACTGGTTATTTTAATCTCATAGTGCAGGTAAGTGAGATTGTGATGCAGTGAGGGTAAGCGAGGCCTTCTGGAAGGAGTAGGAGGATATTTCTCCCAGAAACCCTGGTTTCACAGGACAGCAGGGTAGGCATCTCTTCTGCCTGAACCTGGGGAGAGGGACACCATCTAAGTCACACTGTGTGGTCTGTGTGGCAGTGGGCCTGTCACTAGATGCTTTCACCACTGGATAAACAAATTTGGTGCCTTAGGAGACACTGGTACAGCTGTGAGTCATTGCTGTAGATAGACCATGCCCTCTTATGGCAACGCAATGTAAGTGCAATAGAAATGACTGGCTTTACCAAAAGCAGCATTGCTCTACCAAAAAGGGAAAGCTGGAAAGAAGCCATGGAATTCACACAGCCCATCCTCTGCCTTGCTATGGATCATATGAGTTTAGACACCAGACCAGGTCCCTCGAGGGATGAACATTGCTGATGCATTCACTCAAGTGCTGAAGTTCAGAAGCAGAAATGGGTTTAATTGATTTGCCATGGATGTCATGGCCAAGGAAGAACTGGGTTGGGACTATCCAAAGGTACCCCAGGTTTCAACAGTCAGTGCACATAACTTCACCAAGTTTCTGGAGGAAGGATCCGCACACCCACCTGGGCCCAGCTCAGGCTCCTCTGCTGTCCTTGAGCATGAGTTCTTTTACACATTATTTTACCATTTTCATCACTTATTATAAGATTATTAATATTGCAGGGAATGCTAGAAACCTATACTTTCTTAAAGGGAAACCTCTAAAGAAGAGGGGACAAAGTTTTAATTCAGCTTTCTAAAACATATTTTATGTTGTATAGCACATTTTTTGCAATAAACAGGAAGGTGCAGAAGTCTGAAAGGCCCCTTTAGCAGAAAGTGCTGATAGGGCATGTTGAACGGTTATACAGAGCCTCCTCATCAGCCATACTTTTCTAATTTGCCTCTATGGTCCATGAAACTTCAGCCACTTTTTTCTAATTGTTACTTTTTGCGTGTCTCACAGTAGAAATGGGAAAAGAGGTGAGAAGAGAATGTAATTACTGCTGTTGGAGTTGCTGTTATTATTGATGGCTTACATGTTCATTCCCTAGCTTGACTGGTCCAGTTGTGAGTCAGTGAATGGCCAGACTCTGCACCTGTTCCATTAACCCCATAACATGTTTTTCTCCTTCACTTTAAAGATATGGGACCCATACACATGGAACTTTTAAGAAGCTAGGAATTCCTGGGCCAACACCCCTCCCGTTTGTGGGAACCGTTCTGGGCTATCGTAGGGTGAGTGTTGTTTGGGATTCCTCTTTTGCTTCTTATGATTACAAATTGCAGCTGAGTTCCATAGCAAAAGGGCTGTCCTCAAGGGGAAGTTCAGTGGTTTCATGCTTTTCAGAAAGGGCAGCTTAGGCACCACCCAGCCCATCACCAGGTTTACCCAGGGCTCTATGTCAGCTGTTCAGAGCCTCACATTTTGTCTTGGTTGGGCAGCAGAGCTCTCTGGCTGATTCAGGACATGATTTAATATTCCAACTTGTGTGCATCCAGAGGAGGATTTTCCTTCTGCCAGGTGCAGGTTCCCAGGAAGATATAATCATGCTGAGTATTAGGACAAATGCATGAAGAGGTGCCTGGTAGTGCCTCATGAGGTTGACTATGCCAGAGTCAGACGTTCCTGTTCCTAGGATATGTTCTGGGTAGCCTTTTTTTCCTTCTTCCTCCTGGACAGCTGTGAAACTTCAGTGTATGAGGTAGCCCAAGTACTCACCATTGGGTAATTTGTACATACATCCTTGAATTCTCTCAAGAATGGCTAAATCCCTGCTGATATTTTCATGGTTCTAACTCACACTTTGGTTCTCATGATGTCTTTGTGGGACTTGAAAGATGGAACAAGAGCTTATGCTTTATCTCTCTGCGTTCAAAGGAGGAAGCTTATGGCTGAGTCTGAGAGGGAGTGGTTATAACTGATGAAAGATGGTGTTTGTCTCTTCAACCTCCTAAAGAGTCATGTGGGGTTTTTTAAAAAAAGCAGTTACTTATATAAAGCCATTAGAGAGAAGATGATTTGACAAAGTTATTAAAATTTTAGTTTATCTGAAAGAAATGAATTCAGAACTTCATGGATTGTGAATTTTGGTAAAACCTTCATGGTTGATTCAGTCCTGATCCTTTGCCCAGGGGGCAACCCTTGAACGGAGAGCTAAGAGCTTCCTTAGGCCAGCAGGCAGAGCCTGTGTGCAGGTTGCTCTGTGCCTCAGATTTTCTTTCCCTCAAGGGAGAGGCTTGATTCTCAGATTCTAATTCTCCCAGCTGGGATCTCACTGCCTCTTAGTCTAAGAACTTCCCATAGATTTTTGCCTCCGATAAGGCAATATTTTCCTCTCTACCATTCCCAGTCAACTCCTTACAGATGCACTCCAGGGCCCACATTTCTGGAACTTCTTTTGTATAGTTAAAATATCAAATTTCACAACTAAAACTTAGCAATAGCAAGATGTGTTCTTTTTTAATTACAGAATTTAAAACTCAAAGAAAGCATTTTAATTTGCTCTGTTCTTGTGTAGTGCTGGCATTTCCCCATCTTTTCCACGTTGATCCATAAAACTGGAAAGCAAGTACTTTCTCATTCATTCATTCATTCATTCACTCACATACTTACTCAACATACACGCCTGAGACTTACGTAAATCTATTAGACTTCAAGAGATCACTGGTGATAAAGTTCCTCATTCTGCTAGAATTCAGAAAGGTCAGATGAGAGAAATAAAAAGATGCTGCACCAGGAGATCAAAGAGTGTGCAGGCCACTCTTACTCTCCCTCAGCTTCAGTCCAGGAGTCTATGGAGGTAATAATTCTGGGGGTTATGGGGTTTGAGAGATAATACATGCACAACAAAGCCCTTCTGAAAGACAGGAGTTACTTAGTATCAAACACAAGGGTAAGTCAAGTATCAACACTACTTGGAGAAAATTCAAGAGTGATTTTAAATTCCCCACTGCAAATATCTCCTCTATTTCCTCTCTGTTTCCCAAGACACTGCTGAATAAGAGCTTCCCTCTATCAGCGTGAAACACAGAAACACAGTCCATCTGAGTTCATGGGATTCAAGTCATTTTGGTTCCAGTGAGAGGTAGAGGCCAGTACATTCAGATCAATAATCTGATTTTGTTTCTCCTTGCAGGGTTTTTGGGATTTTGACCAGGAATGTTTTAAAAAGTATGGAAGAATGTGGGGGTGAGTACTGGGGAAACTCCCAGTGGATTTACTTGCTGTTATGATGAGGGTCCCATGGTGTGGAGGACAGTCTCAGCCCAGAGCCTCTCAGGATGAAGCACTTGTGGTAAAGGTTTTGGAGGCTTGTCCTACCAGGGATCCCAGATGTCGCCAGGTGTCCAGGTCTGCATTCTGAATTGAGTTGGAGAGTTGCAGGTTGTTGTTACTCTCCAGACTTCAGTGGCCTAGGGACTCCTGGCATCACCTTCTGTCCAGTCTCATCATGCCCCTCTTCTCCATTTTTCCTCCCTTAGGTCTCCTTCCATTGGGTGAAATGCATTATTTCAGGCTCTTCCAATATAGGCTCATAAATGCCTATTACAACTCCTTCCCACATGATTGACTATTAATTAAAAGCCAAAGTCCTTCATTTTAAATTTGGATTTGTTATGTCATTAGGAAAAGGCTGTGGGTATAGGTAAATGGAAAGGGAAACCATATCTGCTCAGCTTTTTAAAATTTCTCTGAAAATATGGAGTTTGGGTTTTTAAAAAGATTTAAAGCAACCCTTCTCAATAGAAGTTTAGTTTATACAAGTATTGATTGCTTTATGTACTCTGTTCTACTACCTTTGAAGAGATGTAGGATATTTCTAAACCACACTGCTCCCTGGTGGGCTGATGGACCTAAGGACTTTGTAAAGTGGCCTCAGGCAGTTGCTGGGGCTGTTCCTGTTGGGAGCTGCTGGAGGGGTGGTGGGTGCAGCAGGAGAGGGCTTGCCCTGCTGCTGGCAGATGTAGCCTGCTTGGAGCCCAGGGCCAGTTATGACCCACATGTAGAATAAATATAAGTAATGAAAGGAAAATATTTGTAAATGAATCATACATGCTTCTCTGTGTTTTTTATTCTCTTTGTTGTTTGTTTCAAATATTTCTAAACTGGATTCTACCAAGGGCCTCTCTTTAGCAGTTAAAATATTTCCTTTAAGCAATTGTAAACTAGTAATCGAATTTTAGAAAAAGAGCATAGAAATCATTCATATTTCTGCTATATCTTTTTGAGCATTTCAAGTCTTTTTTATTTGCAGACTCATTTTTACATATTTGTGAACAGTATGTGTATATTTTCACCTAATATTCTGTCATATGCATTTTTATGTTTTTGATTATCTTCAAAAGTGTATCTCTTCCTTTTTATTGTTTATGGTATATTTTCCATTACCAAAAGTGTATTTTTAAGTGACTGAGTACCTACCCAGGCTCTCCTTATTATTTTTATGTTCTCAGATTATTTACTTGCCTTCATCTACTTACTAACTTAACTTCCTTTTTGATAGTGAATATTTTAAGCATACAAAAAATTATAAGAATGGTATAGGAAACACCCAGGTACATGACCTAGGTTTAAATGTTCTCATGCTATTTCCAATAACAGGCTGACAGTGACCAGAGGGGAGAGGGGAGGGAATTTCAGGGGAAAAGGGGAAGGGTTCACAGGAACAAGTATAAAGGACACATGGACAAAAACAAGCAGGGAATGGAAATGGGAGGGAGGTGGAGAGGGCTGGGGGGGTGGACTGGGATGGGAGTAAAAGGCAGAAAACTGTACTTGAACAATGACATTAAAAAAAGAATAGTAGGATAAGAAATATATAATTTATATTAAAGAATTTAAAAAACACAAAAAAGAAAACTCCAGCAACAATGATCACAAGGAATATGGGTTATGTCACATCAGAATGAAAGCCTGGACTTTCAGACGTGGCTCCAGCTGCAGAAGCTGGCTTGTTAAACTGAATGAGCTCTGTTTTCACTACACAGGCTCTACGATGGCCGACAGCCTGTGTTAGCTATCACTGACCCAGACCTGATCAAAGCAGTCCTTGTGAAGGAATGCTACTCTGTCTTCACAAACCGGCAGGTAGGTGTCCATTTCGTTTAAATTAAATTTTCAACAATTTAATTGTATTTTTTCATATTGAAATAGTAATAGATGAGCAGGAAGTTACCAAAAGAATCCAGGCATATCCCAGGTTATGCACCTTTCATTTTGTTTCCCCCGATGGCAATATCTTGTATAACTACAGTGCAACATTCACAGCAGGAGAGTGACATTGGTACCACATTTACAGAGCTTACTCAGATTTTATCTGTTTTATGTACACTCATTTGTGTGTGTGTTACTTATAACAATTTGACGCGTATGTATATTTGTATAACTACCACTGTAAGTTGCCCTCTTACTATTTTTTAGAGTCACAATGTATAGCTTATCTTGTCCTTTTATCAGAGTCTTTAGCAGAACAAATATATATATATATATTTCACGTTGACAAAGCCAATTTTTTATTTATTTATTTATTTATTTATTTATTTATTTATTTATTTATTTATTATTTTATTGATTATGCTGTTACAGTTGTTCTATTCCCCCTTTCATTCCCCTCTACCCTACTCCCCCATCCCCACCATTACCCCCCCTTTAGTTTATGACCAAGTGTCTCAAGTCCTTTAGATTCTATATTTCCCATGCTATTCTTGCCCCCCACCTATTTTCTATCTACTGTCTATGCCACTTATTTTTTGTACCTTCTCCCCCTTTCTCCTCCTCCCACTCCCCTGTTGCTAACCCTCCTTGAGATCTTCATTTCTATGTTTCCACTCCTGATCTAGCTGTCCTTTTAGTTTGCTTTTGTTTTAGGTGTGGTTGTTAATAACTGTGAGTTTGTTGTCCTTTCACTGTTCATGTTTCTTTAACTTCTTTTTCTTAGATAAGTCCCTTTAACATTTCATATAATAAGGGCTTGGTGATGATGAACTCCTTGAATTTGATCTTATCTGAGAAGCACCTTATCTGTCCTTCCATTTTAAATGAAAGTTTTGCTGGATAGAGCAATCTTGGTTGTAGGTCTTTGAATTTCATGACTTGGAATACTTCTTTCCAGCCCCTTCTTGCCTGGAAGGTCTCTTTTGAGAAATCTGCTGACAGTCTGATGGGGACTCCTTTGTAGGTGACTGTCCCCTTAGCTCTTGCTGCTTCTAGGATTCTCTCCTTCATTTTAATTTTGGCTAATGTAATGATGATGTGCCTTGGTGTGTTCCTTCTTGCGTCCAACATTTTTGGGACTCTCTGAGCTTCCTGGATTTCCTGGAAGTCTATTTCCTTTGCCAGCTTGGGGAAATTCTCCTTTACTATTTGTTCAAATAAGTTTTCCACTGGTGGCTGTGTCTTTCCCCCCTTTTGGTACCCCTATAATTCGGATGTTGGAGCGTTTAAAGATGTCCTGGAGGTTCCTAAGACTCTCCTCATTTCTTTGAATTCTTGCTTCTTGACTCTTTTCTGTTTGGCCATTATTTGCTTTCTTCTGGTCCACTCCATTGATTTGAGTCCCAGTTTCCTTTTCATTGCTATTGGTGTCCTGTGCAATTCCATTCATTTCCCTTAGTTTTGCCTTCATATGTTTCTCTAATTTGTGGCTATAATCAACCAGTTCTATGAGGAACCTGATGACCAGTGTTTTAAACTGTGCGTCTGAGAGTTTTGCTATTTCTTCATCGCTTAGATTTATGGCTCTGGGGCTTTGAGATCTTCCTGCACATTTTTGGTCTGTTCTGGCCCTTTAAGTGTGAGAAGCGGCGCCTTGGACTCCCCGGTTGCTGGGTTGTGACGCTGTATGTGGGGGCGTGGTCAGAGCGGGGAAATGGCGCTCGCGGTGGGGCCGGTCCAACCGCCCACTCCCTTGCTCGACAAATGCAGACCACAGTCAACACGCTGTCCCGCTCCCCAGCTGTCTCCCCGAGGTCGCTCACTCAGTCGCTCACTAGGTCCAACCCTGCGTCTGGAATCTGCGCGTCTGGATTGCGCGCCTGGAGTCCGCGCCCGGTCCGACCGAGCCCTCCTTTGCAACTCCTTCACCAGCCGCTGGTTTCGCCCCTCTTACCTGTCAGGCTGAAGAATTTGTTGTTAGCGGACTTCCGAAAAGTTCAATTTTCTGTGTTCTGACTATGTTTTCTATTGCTAATATTTAGTTGTCTCTAAACTTGGTTGTGTGAGAAGGCCCGGCACATCCATCTATGCCTCCATCTTGGCGGAAGTCCCCCTAATTTTTTAAATAGGTTTAAATTGGCCTTTAGTGCCAATTCTAAACATTCTTCACCAAAGATTTTCTCTTCTTATTCTAAACATATACTTTTATGTTTTAAATTTAAGCTTATTATTTATTTTGTGTTAATATTTGTATAAGGTATGAATGCAGGTCAAGGTTCTTTTTTTCCCCTATGGATGTCTGAGTGCTGCAGCACCATTGTAGAAGGCTATCCCTTCTCCTGAACCGCTTATGTACCATTGTCAAAAGTGTTGGGCCTCCTGGCTGGTGTAGCTCAGTGGATTGAGCACGGGCCTGCGAACCACATGATTGCGGTTTGATTCCCATTCAGGGCATATGTCTGGGTTGCAGGTCAGTTCCCAGCAGGGGGACTCACAAGAGGCAATGATACATTGATATTTCTCTCCTTCTCTCCCTTCCCTTTCCCTCTAAAGATAAATAAATAAATAATCTAAAAAAATGTTGGGCCTATTTCTGGGGCTCTCTTTGTCATTCTCTGTTCTGTTCACTGATTTACATATCTATCCTCCACCAGTACTGCATTGTCTTTTTAAAAAATATTTTTAATTGATTATGCTATTATAATTGCCCCATATTTTTCTACCCTTTATTCTCTTCCACCCTGTAGCTCTCTCCCATCATCATTCCCCCACCTTAGTTCATGTCCATGGGTCATACATGTAAGTTCTTTGGCTTCTACATTTCGCATACTATACTTAACCTCTCCGGGTCTATTTTGTACCTACCAATTATGCTTCTTATTCCCTTTACTTTTTCCCCCATACCCCTCCCCACTGATAACCCTCCATTCGATCGCCATTTCTGTGATTCTGTTCCTGTTCTAGTTGTTTGCTTAGTTTGTTTTTGTTTTTTGTTTTAGGTTCAGTTGTTAATTGGTGAGTTTTTTGTCACTTTACTGTTTGTATTTCCTTTATCTTCTTTTTCTTAGAAAAGTTCTTTTAACATTTCATATAATAAGGGCTTGGTGATGATAAACTCCTTTAACTTGACCTTATCTGGGAAGCATTTTATCTGCCCTTCCATTCTAAATGATAGCTTTGCTGTAATCTTGGATGTAGGTCCTTGCCTCTCATGACTTTGGATACTTCTTTCCAGCCCCGTCTTGCCTGCAAGGTTTCTTTGGAGAAATCAGCTGACAGTCCTATGGGCACTCCTTTGTAGGTAATTGTCTCCTTTTCCTTTGCTGCCTCCAAGATTATCTCCTTATTTTTAATCTTGGTTAATGTAATTATGATGTTCCTGTGGGGTGTGTGCTTCCTTGGGTCCAACTTCTTTGGGACTCTCTGAGCTTCCTGGGCTTCCTGGAAGTCTATTTCCATTGCTGGATTGGGGAAGTTCTCATTATTTTTTTTATTTTTTAAATTGATTATGCTGTTACAGTTGTTCTATTCCCCCCTTCATTCCCCTCCACCCTGCCCCCCCATCCCCACCATTACCCCCCCTTTAGTTTATGTCCATGTGTCTCAAGTCCTTTAGGTTCTATATTTCCCATGCTATTCTTGCCCCCCCACCTATTTTCTATCTACTGTCTATGCTACTTATTTTCTGTACCTTCTCCCCCCATCTCCTCCTCCCACTCCCCTGTTGCTAACCCTCCTTGAGATCTTCATTTCTATATTTCCACTCCTGATCTAGCTGTTCTTTTAGTTTGCTTTCATTTTAGGTGTGGTTGTTAATAACTGTGAGCTTGTTGTTCTTTCGCTGTTCATGTTTCTTTAACTTCTTTTCCTTAGATAAGTCCCTTTAACATTTCATATAATAGGGGCTTGGTGATGATGAACTCCTTGAATTTGATCTTATCTGAGAAGCACCTTATCTGTCCTTCCATTCTAAATGAAAGTTTTGCTGGATAGAGCAATCTTGGTTGTAGGTCTTTAGATTTCATGACTTGGAATATTTCTTTCCAGCCCCTTCTTGCCTGGAAGGTCTCTTTTGAGAAATCTGCTGACAGTCTGATGGGGACTCCTTTGTAGGTGATTATCCCCTTAGCTCTTGCTGCTTCTAGGATTCTCTCCTTCATTTTAATTTTGGCTAATGTAATTATGATGTGCCTTGGTGTGTTTCTTCTTGAGTCCAACATTTTTGGTACTCTCTGGGCTTCTTGGATTTCTTGGAAGTCTATTTCCTTTGCCAGATTGGGGAAATTTTCTTTTATTATTTGTTCAAATAAGTTTTCCACTGGTGGCTGTGTCTTTCCCCCTTCTGATACCCCTATAATTCGGATATTGGAGCGTTTAAAGCTGTCCTGGAGGTTCCTAAGACTCTCCTCATTTCTTTGAATTCTTGCTTCTTGACTCTTTTCTGTTTGGCCATTATTTGCTTTCTTCTGGTCCACTCCATTGATTTGAGTCCCAGTTTCCTTTTCATCTCTATGGGTTTCCTGTGGAATTCCATTCATTTCCCTTAATTTAGCCTTCATATGTTTCTCTAATTTGTGGCTATAATCAACCAGATCTGTGAGGAAGCTGATGACCAGTGTTTTAAACTGTGCGTCTGAGAGTTTTGCTATTTCTTCGTCGCTTAGATTTATCTCTGGGGCTTTGAGGTCTTCCTGCGACATTTTTGGTCTGTTCTGGCCCTTTAAATGTGAGAAGTGGCGCCTTGGACTCCCAGGTCGCTGGGTTGTGACGCTGTATGTGGGGGCATGGTCAGAGCGGGGAAATGGCGGCGCCCTCTACGCCGTGGCCGGTCCAACCGCCCACTCCCTCGCTGGCCACAATCAGGCAACCCCAGTCAACACGCTGTACCGCCTCCCCACTGTCTCCTCTGCAGTCGCTCACCCGGTGGGTTGCTC